ATTTTTGTCGAATTCGGTCCAAAATGTAGCGACCAGAGTCGCCCAGAAATGTACAGTCGCTCCATCTAGTTTTAGTTAGGTTAAGTTTTCCTTATAGTCATTAGTTTGTAAGTTTTGTATATAGTAGTTGGTAAACTTGGTAAAAGACGGTGCGCCCCCAACCTTCTCGAAAGTCGGGAAAAAACAATAGAATAAAACGAGCACGCGTCGTGTACAGAGGTGTCGAATAAAAAGTCTTCGGATAATCGTAAAACAGTCTAATTTATTCTCTCCCACTGAGCAAGTACGCCATAAAAACGGTATAGGTAGCGTCATCTAGCGGCGGGCGGTGGAACTACGAAAAACTAAAATTTCGATTTTCTCCGAAACTAGACAATTTTACATATTTCTGAGGGTCAGAAATTGTTTTGTGACCTCTCTACAACCTGTATATTGCCACAACAACCTCCTCAGAGCGCTAGGAAAGAAAATTAGAAAAAAGGTCAAAACATGGACTAAAAATTGGCGTCCATCTAGCGGTGAAAGTTGGAACTACAAAAATTTAAAAATGCGATTTCCTCGAATATTAGCGAACTTTGAGTACTTGTGAGGCTCAGAAGGTGTTATGTGACCGCATTAGAAGCAAAATAAAGCAATAAAGGTTTCCTGAAAGCTCTAATAAAGAAAATAAAAAAAATGTCATTTTATGGAGAAAATTTGTGACGCCATCTAGCGGCGAAAGTGCGAACTAAACTGAAAAACCGTATATACGAACACGCGTTAAGGAAAAATATAAAATTTAATATTTCGGAACTTTGACGACGTAGTATGATACCTTAGACATTTTAAAGCAAGTTTTGTTTAATTAGTTATGCATTCTTTTGCCTATTAGGTTCAGAAAATCAATTTTTATTTGGCCCCTAAACGCGTGTTCGGATATACGGTTTTTCAGTTTAGTTCGCAGTTTCGCCGCTAGATGGCGCCACAAATGTCCACCATAAAATGACATTTTTCTTATTTTCTTTATTAAAGCTTTCAGGAAACCTTTATTGCTTTATTTTGCTTCTAATGCGGTCACATAACACCTTCTGAGCCTCATAAGTACTCAAAGTTCGCTAATATTCGAGGAAATCGCATTTTTAAATTTTTGTAGTTCCAACTTTCACCGCTAGATGGACGCCAATTTTTTAGTCCATGAAACAGGCTATTACCTTTTTTCTAATTTTCTTTTCTAGCGCTCTGAGGAGGTTCTTGTGGCAATATACAGGTTGTAGAGAGGTCACAAAACAATTTCTGACCCTCAGAAATATGTAAAATTGCCTAGTTTCGGAGAAAATCGAAATTTTAGTTTTTTCGTGGTTCCGCCGCTCGCCGCTAGATGGCGCCACATGTACCGTTTTGGACCTAATTCGACAAAAATTGATTTCCTGGCTTTATTAGGCATCTATATGCATCAAACCCTAATAGAAATTTGTTTCTAAATGCCTCAGGAACCATACTACGTCGAGAAAGTGCCGAAATATTGCACTTTGCATGTGCAGTAGAATTGACATAGGCGGCTCATGTACGTATCGCAATACTGACACAAAATAATTAATTACTCGTTACCCGAACATTATTTATGAACTTTTATGATCGAACCATGTAAATAATGCATTGCTGGCCACTTTTTAATCATAAAAGTTCATAAACTGTGCTCAGAAAGTGAGTAACGATTTTGCATACTCATTGTCGTGTATATTCCACCTACGCGCCGACAGCGCATGCCACGGAAGAATTATTACCGAAAAACCATATCCTCGTAGACTTTAGTGCAAAATTGAATTTGCTCGCGCTTATGTACTTGACCTTTCAACTTTTTTGTCCACGCTTTTCTCTTGCACCACTCAACCAATTCAACCGGATGACACGGTTGACTATTTTTGCTTTAGCGTGAAATTTACTCGCTCGCTCAACATTGGAGCGGAGCGCGTAATCAAACAGACCTAGTATTTTATATTTTATTTTATTGTATTGCGTCATTTTATTGTATTATTTTATATTTGATTGTATATTTTATTTAAATGCACGATTATAATTGTGTTTTCTGATTGCTGAGTATTTATATTGCATTTAACAAATTACTATTTTATCTGTATATTTTTATCGGATTATCTCGACTTTAACTTTATCAAGTTATCCCGACTTTTATTTTATTTTTATCGCGTTATCTTAACTTTCATTTTATTTTTATCGGATTATCCCGAGGTCTACTTTAATTTTATTAGATTATACCGACAATTACTTTTTTTTAGCGAATTACTCTGACATGTACTTTGTTTCTTCACGAAAATTCTTATAAAGCGCATATGCGATGCAAGTTCTTTGCTATATCATGGTAAATTACATACGGAGAGATGTGTGTATCCATGGACTAAATAATGTAAAAACTTTATCTGGTTGTAACAATTTGATAAACGGGAAAATATCCCGTTAGATTTGGTTTGGGCCTTAAATGATTTAGATGAGACATTGTTACACCTGAAAGAATTACCTGCAAAGCAGGAATTAATAAAACTAAATCGTGAACTCAATTTTCGTAATTAATTATCTTTTTGACTTGTCAACATTTATAAAACATTCCCAAGTTATTTTACATTACGATTTGGAAGGTATTATAGCACAGTAAGTGAAAAAAGTCAATATTTTTTTAGATAAATTGTTTCAAATTTAGTTCCCTCTTTTTACCGCCAAATGATTAAGCATTGGTCAGTAAAATGCAATTTTTAAAATTATAGAATTTTATCTTATTTATAAATGACACTAGCGCTATGTTTCAGACAGTGCTCGCGTAAATTAAAAATTTTAAAGTTGATGTAAGAGTAAGTAAGATAATTAATTACTTTGCAATAAATTATTGTTCTATTAGTAAATGAAGCAAATAAGACTAAATGAATTTGCACGTAAAATACAATTATGAAGGAATGTTAGCTTACATAATTTTTATATACAAATAAAGTAATTAACATGCTGATATAATTTTTAGAATCATCTTTTTCAAGTGTAATATGTGTAATAAAACAGATTACTTTTAAAAATGAACATTTAGTTATGAAAATTTCAATTTCGAAAATGTATTTACGCTTAGGACGCCATTTTCCCTAGGGAAACCAGATTTGCTTTCGAGTGCACTCGAATTTGGAGCGGCAGAGGTAAAACTTTTTAGGTATTGGCTACTTATCAAACAACCAATGAGTCGTATGCTATCCCCGTAAGTTAACTATGAAACAAGAAATCCCATAACATGACTGATCTATTCTGTACCTTCTCTGTGAGTAATTCTGATCAGTTGTATAAATGCAGTTACCGTCAGTATTGATAACAATAAACAAAATACATAAATACACGTGGGCAGCGGTAAAAGATCGAATAAATAAGAAAAATTTTTCAAACAAAAAAAATAGTATTCATTAATTCTACTATATGAGACGATTTAATGTAACTTAACATGATATAAGAGTATATTTGTTTTTTAAGATTTATGTTTGGTATCCATTTTCTTTAAGAGTAGGTTATGGATTAAGCCAAATCAATTTTTACTATAAAATAAAAACATTAATAGAAGACGTACATTAAGAATTACTATTAATATAATTATGATGACAATTTATTCCACAATAACATAAATTATCAGAACAAGTAATAATTTTTAATATTAAAATTTGATCCATGTATCATAACGTTTAGTGTTATAAAAATTGAAATTCAAAATGGTTAAAGCAAAGAAGAAGTTATCAGAGATTTCTCAGCAAAAGCGTAATCAACAAAATAAAAAAAGTTTAAATCCATTTGAAGTTCACATAAACAAAGACAAACAAAATGTTTTGGGAAAAAAGAGTAAAGCGGATAAAGGACTTCCAGGAATTTCACGTGCAAAAGCAATAAATAAGCGTAAAGGGACACTTCTTCAAGAATATAAATTAAAGAACAAAGCTAATCTGTTTTTAGATAAGCGTATAGGTGAAAAAAATGTTAACATGAATGAAGAAGATAAGGCCATTGCCAGATTTGCAGCAGAACGCATGAGAGCTCATAAAAAAAAGAGTATCTATAATTTAAATGATGAAGAAATATTAACGCACAGAGGACAAACCTTAGAGGAAATTGAAAAATTTGATGATCCAAAAAGTGATGATGAGTTTAGTGAGGATGAAAACAGAACTGGGAAATTACATGATAAATTTGTTGAAGAAGCTCATTTTGGTGGTGGTGTTTTATCAAAATCAGGCTCTCAGAAATCTAGAAAAGATATCATAGATGAACTTATAGCTGAATCGAAGAAAAGAAAAGCTGAAAAACAGAAAATACGTGAACAAACTGTTGACTTAACAGACAAACTTGATTCTGAATGGAGAGATCTTCTTCCAATTATATCGACAGCTAACAAAGCTATTGAAGAACCAGCTGAGAAAACCAAAGCTGATGATTATGACATAGCTGTACGTCAATTGAAATTTGAGGCCAAAGGTATGCCATCTGATAAATTAAAGTCTGAAGAAGAAATAATAAAAGAGGAAAAAGAGAGGTTGGAAGCTCTAGAATTAGATCGTTTAGCAAGAATGAAAGGATTTGTAAACAACTCAAATAATGAAATTAAACACAAGTCTGCAGATGATCTTGATGATGGCTTTGTACTAGAAACTGTAGATGATGAAATAATGGATAATGAAGCCAATTCAATCAAGAATACAGAAAAAAAATTAAGTAATGAAGATGGTAGTGATATTAGTGATACTGAAGATGATAATGATGACAATAATGATGATAATGATAATAATGATAGTGACAATACTGATGATTCACTGTCAAATAATAACACAGAAGAAGTAATAAATGATGATGAAAATGAACAGTCACATGCTGTTGAAATAAATGGCACTACTCAGAAAGAAGCAAGGACTAATAATTCTGCTGAAAGTGAATTAGATGAAAATTCAAATGTAGAAAAATTTCAAAGCTCTGATGAAGACAATTTATCAGATTTAAAAGAATCAGAATCTTCTAGTGAAGATGAAAATGAATTACAAATGAAAGATACTATTGCTATTCCAAAAGAAAAATTAAGTCCAAAGTCAAAAAATGATACAGGAGTTCTCAAACTGGATACCAAAACTAGAGATCAAGAAATTAGAAATGATCTTCTTAAGAGGAAAGAAATTATGGAAAATGCAAGGAAAGAATTACCTTATACTTACAAAATGCCTGAAACCTTTGAAGAATTACAAAAATTATTACAGAATCATAATGCTGAGTATCAGTCACTTATTGTAGAACGTATTATTAAATGCAATCATTGGTCTTTAGACAATAAGAACAAAGAAAAGTTATCAAATTTATTTTTATTTTTATTACAACATTTAAATGACATTGCTATTGAGGATAATGTTGAAAGTGTGATCAAGTGTTTTCAAATTATTGATAGGTAATACATAGACTACAATCTTTATTATTACTCTTTCATAAGATAAAGATAATGATCTCTATTTCTTCCAGATTGTCCCCATTTTTGTATGATCTTGCACATGTAAATCCACAAAATACTAAAAATATTATACAGGCAATAATTAAAGAGAAGCATGAAGAATTCGAAAAAAACAAAAAGAGATATCCTGATTTAGATACGGTAATTTTATTTATAGTTACACAATATAATTCATATAATAACTATAAAATAAACATTTTTTTATTTCAGCTTATTTTTTTCAAATTAGTTTCTTTGATGTTTCCAACATCTGACTTTAGACATGGTGTAACTACTCCTTGTTTAATATTTATGTCTCAAATACTGTTCAGATGTCGTGTTAAAAACAAAGTGGATATCTCGAAAGGTCTTTTTATATGTACTCTTATTTTAGAGGTAATAATATAATAGTATTCTTATGCAATGTGATATATGAAGTTACAGTATAATATATCAATTATATTTGCAGTATACTGTACTAAGCAAAAGATTTGCACCATCTGTGATCAATTTCTTGCGTGGAATAATATATGTATCTACGCCAAAGCACTTAATTCAAGGGATAAAAATGATACCACCATTTAAAACCGTTGGAGATTTTAGTAACTTGTTAATACTTTATGATGATCAAAATGATTTAGATATTGACCTGAATATCACGTCCATGAAAGCAAGTGATTTAATAGCTGGAGAATTAGACAATGAGTTCAAGATACGAGCTCTTTTAACGGCTGTAAATTTATTGCACGAATTTAAAAATCAGCTTGAAGAACTTGAAGCTGTGTATTCAATATTTGAACCAGTCATTAAGTTACTTAAACCGAACACCTTTGACAAGTATCCACAAACTGTGAGAAAATCTGTTGAAAACTTACAGGAAGACTTGAATGCATTGAAAAATAAGAAATTAGAATATATTGTGATTGAAAAGAAAAAACCAAAACCATTAAGATTATATGAACCCCGAATTGAAACAGTGTATGTAATCATTTTAGATAATGTTTCATTTTTATTGATATGTTGCATATTAATTAGTATATATATTTACAGATACGATGGCAAGAAACCAAGAACTATGTCCAAAGAGAAAGCAGAACGAGAAAAATTATTACATAAATACAAGAAAGAAATGAAAGGTGCTATGCGCGAAATACGAAGAGACAGAGCTTTCTTAGCAAAACTTAAAATAAAGGAACAGATTAAGAGTGACGATGAACGTAAACGTAAAGTGAGAGAAATTTTTGGCGAAGCTGCTACACAGCAAAATGAATTAAAAAAGTTAAAAAGAAAGAAATAACTTATGGAATAAGCTCTCCTACGCGAATTTTAATATTCATTTTTCGTAGTCAAAATTATATTTAAATAATTTGTAATAAACTCATAATCGCTATATTAGCGTTTTACAAAATTATAATTTGAAAATTTGATTAAATACATTTCAATTTCAATATTTCTAATCAATAACAAGCTTCCTTACATTATTCATTTGTTACTATAATGCAGCTGATATTTTTAATATAATTGTACTATACAAACTGAGATTATCTTTAAATAATAACTTGTATATAAAGAATATAGGTACAATAAATAATTTGTATAAGTAAATATACTGCTATTTTGTATACATAATTCTAACGCTTTTCTTCATATAGTCCGGTAAAATTAAACTGGTATTTTCAAGATCAGTCGAAATTGGGAGTTCTATAAGCTGAGAAGAATTGTTCTCTATAATTTTGTATAAGAATTTTGATTTATTCTTTGGATATATTAAAGAATACCATTTGTTAAAGTATTCTTTTAGAATTTCAAAATTTGTATATGATCTTATTATTGCATTTTCTAATTGCATATCATATTGATCATCGATGTTATGAAGGGAATTTCTCAAAATTTTTTTCAGCCCTTCACGGAGTAGGAATTCTTTATGAATTTCTTTCGCCTCTTCAATACAATTTTTCATTTTTATTTTCTTTGCAACATATTCTTTCCATGATAGCAAACACTTCCCCATAATTTTATGTTCTATCATGGCAATTACTAGAGTCTCTTTTTTATGTACAACTAGAGCATCTTTCAGTTTAGAGTACCAATGTAGCATAAATCTTTTTACCAAAAAATCTGCAGCTATTGCATATAAGTTCTGTTTACGAAGTGTTTTCATTTTATACTGTTGAGAAAATTCTTTCCAATAAAATAAGTATTTACGGGTTACGATTAATTCCCAAAAGTTAATAGCTTGATTTAATTTTTGTTTTTCTTGCACAGCACCATACAGTGCTTTCTTCCATTTATCTATGTACAAGTATTGCAGTTTTTGAATAATATGTCTACTCTTATCATTTACATAAAATAATTTAATTCGTTTCTCTTTTTTATAAACAGTATAGCTATGAAGTTTTCTTACTACTTTAATTGTCAAATTTTTGTTATAGAAGTTTTGTGACATAAACATTTTTCTTCTTTTGCATTTTTTGTTAAAAATATATAAACGCCAATTAGTCAATATTTGAAGTTTTTGTTTATCTTCAAATATACTTCTAATTTGATATATTTTTGTAGCATTATCCACTTTTTTATTGTACCAATATTGCCATGCTGCAAATGCTTTTTTCATTAGTTTAGAATTATAAAATATTGTGGCCCTTTCTTGTGCCATTTTATCAGTAATAGATTCATTTACATACTATTAAAAAAGAAATAAAATATAACAGAATTAAATATAAATATCATATATAAATTCATTTTATAAAAATCATACCATAATAAATTGTTTTAGATACTGTCCCAATAATTTTTTTCTGTAATATGTTTGAACATATTTTTCTACATACAACTTTTGTAATTTAACTTTGTAATATTTTTTCCAAGTATAAAAATATTTTAATACTAATTTGTTATTATAAAATGTGACTACATTTTCTATTTTATTTTTTAGTAATGTGAATTCACAGATGCTGATCCAAGCTGTCATATATTTTTGTAAAATACCTTTTGCATAAAATTTAAGTACCTACATTAAAATTTTATAAATTAAGAAGCAAATAATTATTATCCAAATATGAAATACATGTTTAATACTAAGTATCATACATACTTTATTTTGCATTGTCTTTTTTTGCCTTTGTTGCATTACATAAATTTTCCAAATGAAAATACACTTCTTCAAACAGCGTGAATTATAAAATGTAACAGCTTTCTCTAATAGTAGTTTCTTTTTATTTCTGATTGAAGTATAATTAACCCAGAATATAAAATATCGTTTTAATAAAGCATTATTATAATATGTTTCTAGCTTTATATAATTTGTAGGAGAAACAACTTCATTAGAGTATTTATTGGTAGGAAAAACAATATGTTGCCATTTTAGCAATACATTTTTTGATAATGTATTTAAAATCATTTTTCGTAATTTTTTATTGTAAAAATAACTTGCTTTAAACATGGCTCTCCTTGCATGTAATTTGTGAATAACATACATTTTCCAATGTTCAAAAACGTTTCTTAAAATCTCTCTGTTATAAAAATTAAATTGTGATCTCCGAGAAATGCTACATAGTGAGAAAAAATTAATTTTGTATTATTTTAATAATGGCAAAATTTGACTTTACTTTTCTTACTTTGTATAGTCTTGAATGTTATTTCTTATAACATCTGATACATCATTTTTATAAATTGTATTTTGCATGATTTTCAACACATTACTGTATTTGTTTGAAGAATTTTGTGATGGTGCATTTTTAAACCAATAATGTAGTGATTGTAATTCTATATTGTACATGTAATTTTTGTTTACTATTCGTTCCATTACTGTATTATTATATGTTACAACTGTTTTTTAATATTCCTGAATTATTTATTTTCAGTAATCTCTCTGAAATATATCCTATTATGTTTTATACACAGTATCATATGTAAATACATATTTCAATGTTCATAAATTAATGTCTCCAATGTTTTTATATAGCAGCTGTTATAAACTGATGTTATAGTAAATTAATCATTTATTGAATATACACATGAGATCTTTGGTAATAAAGTCTGATTTTATAATTCATGTCATGATTTTGACCACATGTGTTTGTTTATTAAGATGAAAGTAACTCATAATATACTTAGCTGTTATTATAATTTTTATATTTTTTAATATCAGAACTATGATATGTATATATACAATTAATAGAGATAAGCACAACAAATTGTATTTTCATCAATTAACATTATAACCTAAGTAAATATGATCCAAAATTTTTAACATTTTAATAAAGTTAATATTATTTGATAATCGACCTTTATACTTTTAATGGTTTTTATTATTATAATAATTATTTTATGATATTAGGGGATGGATGTAAGGATTTTAAAAGCAATATTGTGCAGTTGTGAGAGTGTCACAAAAGATTTTGAAAAGTCAAAGGATTTTCAAAAATTAGTACAAGATCAGAAGTTTTTACCAACATGTAATGATATATTTGATGCAGTGTGTGTATCATTAACAAAATTACTCTCTTACAAAGTTTCAAAGGAAGCATATCAACGTTATACTGTCCGTCTTCATGTAATTGTATGTACTTTTATAATTAATAGCCTACATAAAATTTACTGTACTTGATTATTTAATTTTATTTCAGAGTGCTTTAAGAGACTGGTGCAGAATTAATGAAGCTCTCCAAAATTTTAGACTATTCACAGATCAAAAACAAACAATAACATTCCTCCAAAATTTGTTAGAAAAATATATAACAGATGATGTCTTAGATACATGTGATTCAAGGAATGATTTAGTATCACTCACTAGTGCTTTAATGTGCTTAACATCCACAAATTCGTATTATAAGTGTCATTTGGAAAAATTACTTCTAAAACTCGTAGAATTGGAACCCTGTGATCAAAGTGATTATTTGTTATGTTATGCAGTGCGAAAAGATTCTAACTTGAATCTTGATCTCTCAACAATAGAAAGTATATTTAATTCTCAAAGATGTAAATTAATAGAACAACCATTATTAAATGATTTCATGTCATCATGTATAGATATAAATAAAGATGATGTGAATCATTCAGAGAGTGTCACTTTGTTGGATCAACTGTATGAATGGGTCAGCAAATCTTCATGTATTTTTTTGTTGGTATGTGCTTTCTTAAAAGAATTATTTATACAATTAGATAATGCTCCTACAGTTATAACTTTTATACAATCAGTTTTGAGCCGTATCAAAGATCGCTGTAAAAGCCAAGACATTCTAGATCTATATCCAAGAAATTTACAGTCCACTATAATGTTACTGCAGATACAACCTGAATATCATACGACTGATTCGAAAAGTTCAACTTTAAGAATATTGGGAAATATTTATTTTGAGGATAAACATAGCGCAATAATTTTACTTTTACATTTTCCCCAATGGTTAAAATTATTTGGAGAGCAACTTTTAAACTTACATAATAATTGATAAAACTTTGTACATGTGATAAGTTAATGTATATCAGAAATAATTGTATCAACATGTTAGTTTCATGTTTTTAAGTATAATTTATGATAAATAACTGAAAAATGTATTTATATATCTGAAAAATGGTAATAAAAAGTAATGTATTGAAATTAAGATATGAAAATTATAGTATCAAAAGAAAAGATCTTTATTAAATTATTATTTAAGTGCATAATATAAATTTAATGGTTTTGAACAGAATGTAATAATTAACTTATTATTCGCATACAATGGGTGTTTTTATTCCCTGTTTATCTTTCTCTTTTAGTACGCAAAGTTAAGGTGAAATCCAATCAATAACCAGACACTATTTTTTGCAAAACTTATCACTATTATTTCGTTCAAAAACAAGCAAACTATTTAACGATACCAATCCATCTCTACTAAAACAAACGAGAAAAAAAGAACAGAAATTCAAGTTATTTAATATTTCTTTCTCTACTTAACAAGATTGACATAACGTTTCTTCATTTTCAAATTGTGTAAAAAATGGTGCGTTATCCGATTTACCAATTAAACTATATTGCTATTCAAATTTTAAATTATTTACTTATGAGCTTTTTCTGTTATTTAAATATTTACCCTATTGAATTACAATTCAGAATTTTAAAATGGCGTCTAAATTCAAATTCATTCATATACGTGATAACATTTCAAAAAACATAATCGAAATTGCACAGTTACTTTTATTCCGTCAAAATTTCCGTAAAAGGATATTTATGAAGCAATAATTTTATCGTGAAAGGAAAGATTAGAATACCTTCATGTGAAAAGGATGAAGAAAACACGCGCGCACGCACCATTCGTCAACACGAAACTCGCGTCCGTTTGAAACTAAACTTTTCAATAATCAACAAGCAAACTATTCCCGTAAGAGTTGAATGTTATCCGTCTCAAGAAGGAAACTAAATTATTCACTAAACGATTCGGTACACAAAGGAACAAATTAAACTATACACCCCGATGACTGCGCGGTGAACTGAAATAAATCGCATAATTTTGCGCGAATTACCCGCGCTTCGTAACTGCGCATGCGCGGGTGTGCAGAACACCAGCGCAGTATTACACCTGCACCGTTTCTAAACGCGGGATTCCTTGAATTTCTTGCGATGTTGTTGAACCGCTAGAAATATTCTCCTCAGACATCGCGCTTTTGCTTGCACTTGACGTTACAGCAGAGCCAGAAGACATCGGAATATCGGTAGTGGTGGTCGTCGGGACTTGTATAGCAGGAGCGGGCATGGATTTGTCAGGATTAATCGAGGAAGGTTCCGTTTGGCGTGGCAAGGATTTGCGTCGTTTCAAGGATTCGCGTTGTCGTTGGTCGGCCTGCCGCTTTTCCGTTTTGTTTTTTATGCCACCGACTTTCTGCGTTACCTGTCGAAGTCATAATGTAAGTGTAGGATTTTCTCGCGCGCAGATGAATGCTATACCTTAAAGATCACTTAAAAAAAAAGAAGCAACAGAGTACCGGGAAGAAGTACAGATTTGAAGTGTAATTTTATGGCGGGAAATATTCAAAATTGATACAATCTTACTTAAGATGATATTCTTTTCTCTTCCAGGAACTCTATAGTCGCTTTATAGGGTGATCCGTGTAATCAGGATTGGCTATAGCTTCCCATAAAAATAAAATAAACGAAAATATTTGGAATATTTTTGAAAATAGCTATAATCGTATCCCCTTATATGGAACACCCTGTACACAAACGATACGATCAGAAAGTAGGTATTAAATATTATTGACAAAGTCTTTCACCTTTTTTCTTTAACAAAACAAAATTAAAATTGTTTAAGACCAACATTTAATTCTTATATGTTTATGCAGATAGTATGCACACACATTTTTGTCGTGGTACATTTTAAAGATATAAAACGTTTATTTTTCCTAACCCAACTCGCGCGGACGTTTAAAAACGATCTCTATGTATCGGCAAGATCATCAAAATAATTCTCTTTTAGAATATCGAAGGTAAACGTCGAATAAACGCTGCTCCATGTATTGCACCGCTGGTGAAAAACGAAAAAGAACTTATCTTGTGGGACACGTTAGCGTCAACGTTCATCTTCCTGCTTAAGAAATAATATTTTCAAGGATTTAAAATTCAGTTGTTTGAGAACCAGATGAAATTGTTTCCAGGTAAAACAATGATTATGCAAATTCGCTGTTATGTACGACAAATAGGACTACTTTCGTGTACTAAAGGTAAATGGAAATTTCACAGGTTAAATTTCAAACAAAATGGTCTACGCTAAACTATTTAAGCCAGGGATTCCCAAAGTATGAGTCGACAACTAAAAGTGTTAACTACTGAGGCAATATTTTGAGGCAATAACAAATTAAGGCTCAACAAATATTGAGGCAATATTTTTTCATTTAACTAGAGGGATCCAGGATAGAAAAAGGAGTACCTAGCGGAACACTAGATTCTGCATCCCTCAAAGTACAATTGTATTATTTCTTGCATATAAAATAAATTTAAATCACGGTTAAGGTACAATTTTCCTTCACAGTCGAAAAGCTATTATTTCGAAAGGTGATGAAATTTTGGGAAGCCCTGAAAACAAAAACTCTACGGTTCTATCGTGGAAATAAAATCGAAAGTGATGACTCTATAGGGGGTATTATCCTATAATTTCTTTCTTCTCGCTCATCTCATTTTAATACCAGAATAAAGTGTATTTTGTTATAAGAAGATTCTCGTTTCACTTCAGTTACAGAACATTCTAACTAAAATTTAAATGCTGCACAATAATTTTCGTGTTTCGCAAACGTAGCCGAGAATTCTCGTCGAAAGAAGCGTTTCGCAGTATGTACGTAAATTACGTGTCCCGAACACGTATGCATTTCGGGTGCGCTAAATACTTGCTATCAAACGGAAAGGGGAGAAGTGTGAGGGTAGGGGGGTGGTTGGGTGATGAGTTTTCTGGATCGATTAACTTCTTTCGTCCACTTTTGGTGATAACATTGTCCGGGTAAAAGTATAGACAGTAGAAATGTTATAAAATGAAATGCTCTGTTACCTTGTAAAACGTGTTACATTTAACATCGAGGCGATGAATCATTTTTTTCTTTTTTTTTTCTTTCTTTCTTTCCTTCTTTCTTGTTGTTCAATGATTTCGTTTTCAAACATGTTGTGAGCCGTAGTAGTACTGTTTCTATTTCTCTCTGTCGTGTTTTCACTTTTTTCTTTGCTTTCGTTTCTTTTTTTATCGTTTTTTCATTTTCTTTCATCGAACACACAAGTCAAATAGACGGACAGTTGTGTCATGCTTAAAATGAATGTCGATTTCTTTTATCATTATTTTTCTTTCTCTCGCTCTCACTCTCTCTCTTTCTCACACTCTCGCGCTCTTTCCCCTTATACTTTTGTAATTATTATTTTTTTTTTACGATTTTCTTGTCTTCTAATTATACAATCAACGACATGTACATGACCACGCGCGTTTACAGCACGCGTGTTCATACGTGTACCTCAGTGGTTCGTTTTCATTTTTATTCCTCTCCTTTGTCGTTTGTTTCCTAGCAACATTGCATCGTGTTTCACAACGGAGGCGGAAGATCATTACCAGTGATCGCTCGTGATCATTTATCGATCGTGTATACGTAATACACGTTACTGCAACCACGGTACACGATCTTTCGCCCTACATTCCTCGCTTTTCCCTTTTAATAGTTAATATATTAAAATATTACAAACTATGGCGAAAAAACGTTGATTCGAAGAAATAATTAGTATGAACCATATATCCGGCGGATTATCCTCGTGCTCGTAACATTTCGAAAACTTGACTCGATTAGCTTCTTTTTTTTCATATATATATGTATAACAATAATATTATGCTGATATCGATCCTCGAAATAAATAACGTTCAAGAGCTGTTTAACGTTCCTAGAGTTACGTTTCTCACGTTTTACCAATACCGGAGATGATGCACCGTGAAAATAAACACTTCCTATTTAGGAAAAAGTAAAAGAAACAAATATTGTTCGTTCAATTTCTTTTTTTGACTGGTCGCAGAGTGCTATAGCATTCTAGAATGCAACATGATCCCAGTGATGGGGAACTATAGGCAGGTGCACTTTTTATTAAAAAATTTGCAAATTCACAGATTTGATACTTTTGAGTTAACCTCTTTATATTTCTAAATTTCCAATTCTTCAAATAACTAAATCTCTAAATTTGAAAATTTGGTTTCCATATTTTTAAATTCGAGAATATCTGGAAAACTTAAAATTTATAAATTATCAAATGACCAAATCTGTAAATCTAAAAGTTTGAAATCGCCAATGGTTTGCTGTACGCACTGTGCAGCTCGCGATCAGCTCCGCGGGCAGATGATCTGCCCATCACTGTGCTATCACTCAGGACGAATTCCATCCAACCCAGAATATAGTCTACCTATTATTTCTTACGACTATTTACAAAGTTGACTAAACGAAAGCTTATAGAAGACAATGAAATATAAAGACGATTAAAAGGCACAAATCGCGGTACTCGTAAACATATTTATAACCGAGTCCAACAAGAAATGTTTGGCTCGTTTGTGCCGAAATATTTAACTCTCTGCGGACGAAGGCCGTGACATTTCAGGCAGTGATTATATTTTAAACATCGCGTGAATAAAATTTCAAACCTATATTAAATATTCTAGAGGTGTTCGTTTGAACAATGAAACTTTTTCTGCGTCAGTTGGCCAGCAACTTTACAAACGATTCAAGACTGACAATTTTCAATAAAATTTCTAAAAGGATGCAGACTAACCTTAGAAATATGTGCATCACTGTTCAAAAATATTAACTCATTTTTGAAAATGTTCGATTATAAAGGATTTTCTAGGGACCTTATGTGTTACATATTTTTGTGCTTCGATATGAATTTGAAGTAAATTATGTACATTGTACGAGTTATAGTCGAAAATATGCAAATACAGATTGTATACAAGATTTTAAATTAAATTAGTTATATAATTTGATGTTGTTCTTATTTATTATAAAATATAAATTTATGTTGTACAATATTATATTATCTAGTATGACATTATATCACATTAGATAATATTATATTTTATATAATATTATAACATAATATTGTGGGCCCTCTGGGAGATAAGACTATCTGCATTTTACGATTAATTATTATTTTACCACTCTGATGGTGTATTTAACAAAATAAATAAATCTTGTAATTTTCGATGAGATTTATAATAAAAAAAATTGATATAATTGTGTTTCGATTTTGAACATCAATTTCGAATTGAAAACAATGGAAGGTTAGCAAATAAATATTGCTAGCTGGCATTTTACATATTTAAATAACAATAATGTATTGAAGGAGAAAATATTTTTGATCAGTGTACAGCGGCGAGCATTTTAAGCTTCCCTAAAATGGTGGTATAAGAGGACCCTAAGTTTTCAAATTTAATAATTTAGAAACTGTTCAGTGACTTTCATGTTTAGAAGTTATCGAATTTTAAAATGGCTCTCCAAACAGAGAAATCACCGTTCTTTCAAAGATAGAAAGTTGATAATGTCATTTGCAAACATCGAAATGACGTAACTAACACTTAATTTTCAAACTTCCAAATTTGGGAAATAAAGAATATTATCAAGAAAAGCAACAAACAAGGGTCAAGGACCGTTTCCTCTTTTACTCTCCATTTAAGCAAGGGAAGCCTAAACCGCGTGCAATAACACATCGATTGCGAAAGATTCAACAGAACATTTGATGATTCACAGAATCTTCAAAAATTTAGTATCCCAAAGGGATGCGATCGTCCGGTGGTAGGTAGTGCTTGAACGCCAAGTACAACGTTAAACAATGACACGTAGCCTCGTGGTCGTTAAAAATTGGTCTGCGACATAATTTCAGGGGTGCATCATCCCCTCAATCGATATAAACGCTGTTACTTTTGTTTTAATCTTTCTCTTCTGCGAAGAGATAGCTCGCATCGTCGGTTATCTCGAGTATACACGCACATGAACACATACACGCACGCATGCACACACGCGAGAGCGCGCTAAGAGGAAGAAAAGAAAACGTCATGCTAAAAACTTGATATTTTTTCCCCGTGTTTCTTTCTTTTTCCCTCTTTCTTTCCTGCCTAAAGGAAGAAGAAAGAAAAACAGAGAACGGTATCGTGGGAAACTAAGGAAAAAATGTATCTAACGTCGTCGATCGGAATTTTAAAATTGGCGCCGTTCGGGTCATCCCTTTCGTGTTCCTCACGTCGGCCATTTCGTTCGCTTTTTCACGTACATTTTGTTCACACGCCAGACCTGAGGGGGCCAATCGAGAAAGCAACAGAAAGAAAAAGTAACGCGCGAAGGAGGATGAAATGGTTGGCTTTAGGAAGCTGAAACGTGATTAACGCGC